TTTGATGTTTTACCCCACATGGAGCTAATTTTAACTTAAGAAATAGAAAGCTTAATGTTTATTTTGTTCTATATTTCAGGCTTTCCCACATCATTTTATGCTCAAAAGAAACAATTAGTCCAGTTCACTTGATTACTGGGGCGAAAATGTTTTAACAACCCGTTCGCGGCCCTAATGAACGGCAATTCTAAAATACAAAACGGTATACCGAAAATTATTTATACCCTAGACCAGGGGTCGCAGGCCCGTTCTTAGGCATACGCTGACTACGCATCCGCGTAGGGCCCCGAACGTGAGGAGGCCCCGTGAGGCGCCCTCGATCCCCCGGTTTTTGTTTTTTTTAACTGGCACTGCAGCCGTCTGTGTCACTCACGTTACCTTCCTCATCCTGAAATTTATCATTCTGGGGTTGAGTGGGGGGGGGGGGGGGGGGGGGGGGGGGGGGGGGGGGGTGGGCGTGGGGGGGGGGAGACTGGAAATCGGGGGCTTGGCCGTGGGAATAGGAAAGAGGAAACATTGATAGAGGTGCCGCAGTGGTGGGTGGTGTTTTCTCCTCAGCTCGAGGGAGCTCCACCCCCGGACCCCCCCCCCTTTCCTGGGCCCCCAACCTACGCTCCATGCTTAGGGCCCCCAAACTCCTAAGAACGGCTCTGGGGGTCGGGAACCTAAGGCTCGAGAGCCAGATGTGGCTCTATTGATGGCTGCATCTGGCTCGAAGACAAATGTTTGATTATAAAAAAAAAAAAGTCTCATTAATGGTAAGAAATACTCATTATTGATTAGCAACAGCATAACAATGTTATTAAAAAGAATTCAGAGACATAATTATTGCAATTTTAGTGTTGAAAATTACACAAAATGCACACATTTTCTTGAATTTTTAGTTTTAAACATAATGTATGGCTCACACAGAATTACATTTTTCAAAATATGTGGTGTCCATGGCTCTCTCAGACAAATATGTGGTGTCCATGGCTCTCTCAGACAAATATGTGGTGTCCATGGCTCTCTCAGACAAATATGTGGTGTCCATGGCTCTCTCAGACAAATATGTAAGGTACCAACGGGTCAACAAAAAGGATTGTATCAAAGTATTCAAAGTTTGGAGTCGTCATGTGACGTCTGGAGAGGGGGGGTGGGGGATGGGGGGGGGGGGCGGGCACCAATCTGCCACTTTCCTCGTTTGTGCCCCCTGCATTCAAAGTTGACAGCTCTGTGGCAATAACAAATTTATGAACTTATGAAGAATGAGTTTTATGATTTATGAAATAAATATTTATTGGGAGCATAGTTTCGCCCCCCCCTCCCCCCCCCAACCATGGATGGCATCCATAATACAACGAACGCTGTTGCGCCCATGGGCACCCACAGGTAGGGGCAAGGTGGGGCACTTGCCCCTCACCCCCTGGATTGATTGGATAAAAATATTGTAGACAAAAATAGACAAAAAATGTATTAAAGTAAAGAGAAAATAAAGAGAAAGTAACTAAGCTGATGTCCTTTCCGTTCGTTCACCATACAAATACGCTACAGTAAATTAAAACTACATGAAAACATTACTAAAAATTGTTTGCCCCCTGGGGAGATAACTACAAACATAGATACAATTATATATACATAGACATCATTCTTTCAATCAACTAAAGCTACTACTAAGACGACTACTAAATCTACATATTCAACTGCAAACAAAGTTAAATCTACCATTT